CGCTTTCTTCATGGGTAAACAAAGTAAACGGAGAAGGTATGTCGGTACCTTCGCCAGTGGCAGTGGGAGAGACTTCGCATGATCCCAGCCGAATACACTGGGACACTTTTCCATGGACAGTCGAATGTTAAGAAGGGCTGTGCAATCATAAACTAGAATAGCTGATGCATTCCAAGTAACAGTCAAAAACAGGGATAACAGTAGCACAAAGCGGAGGGATTGACGGCAGGCCACAGATAACGGCGCCATCTCCTAACCGGAACCGTTTGCTCTCGACAATGCAGCTGTAGAAGTTGCAAAAGATCCTAGGCAACATGCCAAACCTCCTCTGCCTCCTCAGGAAGTACAGCCGCCGTTGGGCCTGCTTGACCAGCTGTGTGGTGTTATGTGTCCAGGTGAGGTTCTCAGTGATGTGGATGCCCAGGTATTTGAAGCTGCTCACCCTCTCTACTTCGAGCCCCCAGATGAACAGGGGCTGATGAGATCTCGTCTCCTTTCTCATGTCCACTATCATCTCCTTCGTCTTGTCCGTGTTGAGGGTGAGATTATTGTCCTCGCACCATGACACCAGAACGGCAACCTCCCTCCTGTAGGCTGCTTCATCCCCGCCAGTGATGTGTCCTATCACTGCGGAGTCGTCCGCGCATTTATGCTTGTGGGAGGCGACACAGTCGTGGGTGAACAGGGTGTAGAGAATGGAACTGAAGACACATCCCTGTGGGGTGCCAATGTTCATAATAATGCTGGCTGAAGTCCTATTGCCAATCCTGACAGTCTGGGGCCTGCCAGTCAGAAAGTCCAGGATCCAGTCACAGAGGGTGGGGTGCAGACCCAGTGTGGACAGTTTGTGGGTGAGTTTGTGGGGGACAACTGTATTGAAGGCGGAGCTGTAGTCAGTGAAGAGTATCAGGATGTAGGAGTCTCCATTTTCCAGGTGAGAAAGGGATTGATAAAGGGCAGCCGCGATGACGTCTGAGGTGGCACTTTTGGGCCAGTAGGCATACTGCAGAGGGTCCAGGGGGTCCGGTACACTGCTCTGAATGTGGGACAGCACCACTGTCTCAGAACACTTCATAATGATTGGAGTGAGTGCCACTGGCCTGTAGTCGTTCAGGCTGGTGACCGGGCTCTTCTTGGGAATGGTGCTTGTGGTCTTAAAGCAGGTAGGAACAATGCTCTGGCTGGGGGAGGGGTTGAAGATGGTGGTGAGAACATCAGCCAGCTCGCTGGCACATGCCCTGAGAGCCCTCCCAGGGATGTTGTCTAGTCCTGCTGCTTTGCAGGGGTCAATCTTCCTCAGCACTGTGCGTACCTGGCCTGATGAGACACTGTGTGTGTGCTTGCTCTCTGTGCTGTAGCTGGAGGTCTCAAAGCAGGTGTAGAAGGTGCTGAGTTCATCCATCAGGCTGTCTGTAGAGCTGATGATGCTGGTGGTGGTCCTGTAGTCTGTGATGTGCTGCAGGCCTTGTCACATCCATCCGGAGTCAGCAGTAGAATATAAGCCATTCAGCTTCTGTCTGTACTGCCTCTTGGCCATTGTGATTACTTTCTTCCGGGTTTGTACTTCACAGCTTTGTACTCCGTCTCATTGCCTGATCTGAATGCATGAGAGCGAGCATGCAGCATGTGGTGTACCTGACTGTTTATCCAGGGCTTCTGGTTGGGGAACCTCCTGACTTGTATGGTGGGCACAATGTTGTCAATACAGGTACTAATGTACCCGGTTACATACTCAACATAATCCTGTATGCTGACAGAAAAGTCCTCTGAGGTGCCTGCAGCTTTAAACACATCCCAGTCTGTCTAGGCAAAACAGTCCTGCAGGGTGCCCTCGGTCTCTGGGGTGACAGGGTTTGTTTGTTTCAGTCTTTGTCTGTAGGCTGGATACAGGAACAAAGAGATATGGTCCAAGTGTCCAAAGTGGGGGTGGGGTGCAGCCCTATATGCACCCCATATGTTACTGTAAACATGGTCTAGTGTATTCTTACCACGGGTGGGAATGTTCACATGATGGTAATATTTGGGAAGTAGAGTCCGTTGATTGCAGTGGTTAAAGTCACCAGCGACATTAAAGACAGCATCGGTGTGAGCCGTCTCTAATGTGCACTGATGACGTCGTGGAGTTAGTTAAGAGCGGTAGTGGGATTAGCTCTGGGACTAACATACACGCTAGTCAGGAACACACTGCTGAATTCTCTTGGTAAATAGTAGTGATGAAAAGTTCGGATCCTTTTACTGATTCGGTTCTTTGAATGTCGTTCATCAAAATGAACAAATCTTTTTTTGAGAGTTATTTCGTTCACTTCAACAGAATGTAATTAAAATGTTACATGTTAATTCCCCATATACTTATGTACATATTGATCACGTTTTGAATAAGAAAGAACTGTAATACAGCCAAGGTCATATTATAAGTAATATCGTACCTGTGTCTTATAGGCTATGCAGTCTGTTACTTCATCACCTCACCTCCGGATATTTTGGGTCAAATTTGTTTGGTCTTTTGTCAAGTAACATCCTAAGCTAAGCTGGTGGAGGTAGCAGAGATGAGGATGTTGAGGTTCTCTTTAGGAGTGACCAGGATGGACAGGATTAGGAATGAGCACATCAGAGGGACAGCTCAGGTTGGCTGTTTTGGGGACAAGGTCAGAGAGGCCAGATTGAGATGGTTTGGACATGTGCAGAGGAGGGATATTGGTTATATTGGTAGAAAGATGTTGGAGATGGAGCTGCCAGGCAAGAGGTCAAGAGGAAGGCCAAAGAGGAGATATATCCATCCATCCATTTTCTATACTGTTTAGCCCCAAATGGGGACACGGGGGGCTGGAGCCAATCCCAGCCAGCTGCGGGCGAGAGGTGAGGTACACCCTGGACAGGTCGCCAGTCAGAGGAGATATATGGATGTGCTAAAAGTAGTGGTGCAACGGATCAAAAATCTCACGGTTCGGATCCCATCAATATATTTAACGGGGAAGCCAAAATGCGCCCACACGTGAGATTTTAGTGATGCAGGAGGTTTCTCAATCTCCTCTGCTCCTCCGCTTGCGTCACTGCCGCTGGCCATGACTGTCGCTTAACCACGCGCAACATACAATGGAACCTTTTTTTCTCGAATCTTCGGATCACGTGCGTACCGAACCGTGGAGAGGGATCAGGTTCGGATCTCGGATCAACAGTGATCCGTTGCACCACTAGCTAAAAGAGGACATGAAGTTAATTGGGGTGAGAGTAGAGGATGCCAAGGATAGAGTTAGGTGGAAACAGGTGATTCGCTGTGGCGACCCCTAACGGGAACAGCCGAAAGAAGA